ATCATTTACAATGATGCAGGAAGTTGAAAAGAAAAGCTCAATCAACTTCCAAAGCTACCAGAGCTTTAATAGGCCAGCCCTTCATTAAGTGAATTCCTAAACGTTGACCAAATTCTTTCAAATGTAGGCAGCTAATGGTTCAGGATGCATGTGATGCACTTGCCATTATACAGATGCTGATAAAAATCCTTGAAGCTGCTTTTTTCCCAGAAAGTTCACATGAGTAGAAGGGAGGGGAAAAATAAAAAAAAAAAAAGAGACTTCTTTTCAGTGATTTTGTTCATGTCACAAGAAGAAGGGTCATGTGTTTTTGTTTAACTGGTACATTCCAATGAAATGATTTTCAAAGGGACAGGATAAATAATAGGCATTTTACATATGGTGGCTGGTGCACATCAGATGGAGCTACTTTTTGCATACGCAATATATTTGTTATTTTGCAAGCTGGTTATAATTAATTTAAAGTCTCTATTTAATTTTACCTAATAAACTAATATAATGGCTCAGTGATGCTTTTATGGCTGGTAAAACTTTGATGATTTATTTTAGTCACTATTTTCATTAGGATATTAAAAAAAAAAAAAACACAACAAAAAAACATGTCATTTTCCTGCACAATTCCTATTCAATTGGAAAAAAAAAAAAGTATCTGAAAAACAAGTCCTCTAATCTAGGCCACATTATATTTTTGTAAATCTAAATATCAAGATAACATCTAGAAGAGACTGATATCTCACTTATTTTATGCATGACATTTAAACTTGCTTACATAGTTATTTGCAAATAATTCTCTATATACTTTTCTTCCTGACAGAAAAATATGTTGCTGCGTTAAAGCAGTGTACTTTAGACTTGACATTTGTATAGCTGATGAAGTTATCTTTCCTTTACAGGGACTTTTAAAGTGAGATTCTCTTTGCTGTCTAGTCACTAGAGATTTTCATTATTATCCTCTCAAGCTAGTGCATTTATCACCTTCCTTGTCTTCTGAAAGGTGATATGACATCTCTACCTCTCAACAGTGTGACAAAGTGACAAAGCAAGCATCCAGCTGACCTCTGTATATCGGGGGCTGGAAACGAGGAGGAAAGGAGGGTACAAAACAGAACCCTCTCCCCCCCCCCCCCCCCCAAGAAAAAAACAAAACAGCAGCAACAAAAAAGTTCGTCATTCTGCTGCTTAATTAGCAGACAGAGCAGAGAAGCTTAATAGTCCAGCAATGGGTGGAAGGAGCTTCTCAGCGTCACAGGAAACAGTATGCAATTAGTCAGGGTCAGGATGCCCAAGATCAGATTCGCTTAAGGCTAAAGAGAGACAGAGCAAGGCTATGGCAGTATCACAGTCTGCAGCCTGGTTGTCTCCCTGCGGCAGGATGCCTTTTGCTTCAGTTTCTAATTAAACAACCAGGCAACCAAGCATGTCCACTTCTGGCTTACTTGCATATAACTTGTTTTGCATTCGAGGACCTGAAGTGCTTGGGAGGGTCTACTAAAGCAGGGGATTAAACTACAAAGATAATTATTGAAAGCAGTGGATAAACAAAACTGTCATTACAATAAGAAATCCTGATTTGATCTCCTAAAGAAAAACAAAGCAACCTAGCTTTTTAGTTTCACTGTCTTAGAATTTTTATAAGTTCCTCAGAGGCATATTAATGCAGCCCAGACTTTTCTCTCTGGTGCAATATAAGCACAAGTGTCTCTGGCTGTGGTTAGTAAGAGGAGCCTGTGGAGTGAGGGTGACAACGTAATGAGCACAAAGCTTCTGGTGTAGCCTTCCAGGCCTGAAAATCTGCCCTGCCTGAGCTGGGTGTTTTATTTCTGTCTTTGTGTTCAAGATGTCCCAATGGATCTTTCTTTCACGAGCATGTCAAAGGATGTTTTGAACTCATTTATACTTTTGACATCCTATTGATAAACCATGTCTCTTGAGAACAAGCACTTTCTTTCATTTGATATAACCTGTTTCCTGTTGCTTTCAGTTTTGGTCTGTACTTTTTGGATCATGGAAAATCACATGCACACACATGATACACCTATAACTTAACATAAAAGGAAAATAATCTATATTATTTTTCTTCATGACCTTCATGATTTTATGAACTTCAACCACATTCTAGCATTTTAGTTGATTCTTTCACAGGGAAAGTGACTCCCATTATTTAGTCCTTCCACATACGGAAGCAATTTCATACTTCTGATCATCTCCACTGCTCTGCTTGCTACCATTCCAACTTTTCTACATCCCTTCTGAGATGTCAGGTATCCAGAATCAAATGCAGTATTGGACATGGCACAGTTATATAGTGACATATGTTTTTCCCATATGCATTATTTTGGCCTCATCACCAAGGTATTCCGTCTGACATATTTTTCCCCAGTTACTCAATACCATGATATGCTTCTGCAGCTGTTCACAGTCAGTTTGATAACAACAGATCATGTTGTATCAACACCAAACTTAGTCACCTCATTGTTGACCCTGTCCTCCAAATCATTCATGACTAGGTTGAACAACTGGCATTCCAGAATAGGTTCAGTGGAATCCTCATGTGTTCCACTCCTGCTTGTCCCACATAATGCTTTCATACTACTGAAAACCACTAATTTTACTATGAATAATATTAATTCACTATAGAACATGTGAATTGCTCATCATTGTCATAATGGTCTAATCTGAAAGTTGCTAGCCTTTGAACTATTTTGTTAATTATTTGTTCATCCTGTGTTGTGTCTAAGCTCATCCCTTTCCACAGTCCACATCTTTTTGCTAGTGCTGACAGCTATCCTTGTAGTAGGTTTAATGACATCTATTCATCTGGTTCTTCCAGAACAACTCTCTTCAATTCCAAGAAAGATTGAATGATACACTATTCAATATATTTTCCTAATCCGTTAATATGAGGCAACATTCCTAGTGAACAGTTTCTTGCATGCCAAGCCCAGATGTCTACCTACCATATGTTCATTGCTTGCTATTTTTTTTCTTACAGAAAAATTCAAAACCAGAAGACTTTGTACTTCAGACTGAAGCAAGACAAATTCCACCTATATGTGGTACTATGCAAAACTCGAAGATTAGTTGATTTGGGGCAGAAAGTGATGGAGGTGTTGAAAAGGAACTCATTGAAAGGCCTTCTCATTTGATATAAGAGGAAATAACAGAATTCTAGAGTATTCTATGAATCCAGAAGAAAAAAAAATGTCATCTTGCTATTTCCTGGAGATCAGTTTGTGGCATATACAGTCGAGGGTGCTGCCCTTCCATCAGATCTATGGATTTCAGAATAGGTGGAAATGCAAACCTGCATTTCTTGAGCACTAGCAGAGAAGACAAATTTTTCTTAGACAATAGTCACTACTGTGTCTCAGTCTTAGGGCTGGTTTGTGCTTCTGTTTACTCCTGATACTTTGCATTGGTCTTTACTCTGTATTTGGTTATCTGGTAAGATTTTCCTCTGTACAAACACAGTGATCGTCTTTCTAATAGAAAGCATCATAATTTGAAGCATACTTTTATTTGTGCTAAAAGGCCACAGTCTCAAAGTATAATCCAAAAGATGGTTATGTGATAGATTATCCCTGACAGGATTTAAAAAAACGTCACGTGTCAGACATACAGGCCAACAGTATGTAACAGGACTGCTGCCTCTGGCAGCTTAATTCTAGCGGATTTCTAGTCACATGTATTCCAGGATGATAAGAGCCTCACACAAATTTTTTTACAGCTTTTGAGGGCTCCTTCAGACCAGATGAAAGGCACAGTTGATCATATTCTATAAGTCAGACTTTTTGTACAAGCAATCCTAAAATTTACTGTGTTAGCCCTTTTATTCTTCAGAGATTACCAGGCAAATATAACGGAATTGTTTCCAATGTGAAGTCTTCACAGATTTAACAAATTAGGTGCACTGTATCCTTTCCCTCTTTTTCCCCTATTAACACAGTGCTTTGTGACATTTTTGCAACCAGCACATTTATGCTCATCATGTTCAAGAATGTTTATTCTTCTTGCCTCCATAATCTATTGGCAGAAAATATGGTTCTTGGGGTCCATTGGAGTTTTGACTGCTTTTCCTCCAAGGCATCACTAGGAAAAACATAAGAGAAAAGCTTCTTAAAACTGATGCTTCATGCTGCTGTTTCTTCTCATTTTCTTAGCTTTGTTTCTTGATGTCAGATACATACCACACGCCAGAAGGAAGGGAGAGGACAAAAGAAAGGGAAGAAATCCCTTTCTACATGGAAGGTCTGTACATTAGACTCACCTCGTTAAGAGAACAGTACAACTCAACAACTTCTTGCTCTGCCAACATTAAAAATACTTCCGAAACCTTGCCAGGAGAGTGCTAACTTATCTTTTTTTTTTTTTTTTTTTTTTTTTTTAATGCAGCTTTCCAGACAAGCTCAAGGTTGCAGAATTGTTTGCAAGCTCTTAGGGCTTGGCCTGTGAGCCATCTTTTTGCCCAAACTTGCTAGTGAGCTAAACAGCTTAAGTCAGCTCTCTAATAAAAAGATACAAGCCCTCCTAGGAGCTCATAGCATGATTATTTACTGGAAAATCTTTAGCCTGGATTGCTTCCATTTTGTGGCTTTCCAGTATGCTGTAGATGGGCTTGGTCCTGTCCTTGTGGAAAACAGAAGCCAAACTCTTCCACTGTGCTTGCTGGAATGTGTGGCTTGAGTTAGTAAAACCAGTATCTGCAATTTGTGTAGTCCGAGGCTCAGAACACAGGATCCACCAGTTCAAGCTACTGGTCGACCATGGTCATTATCACATTTCTGGCAGTAACTGCTAGCAGATGCTTCAGAAACAGAAAAGGCAAACAACATACTGTATCTGGCCAAACAGGAAGTAGCACCCAATAGGAAGGAAAATTATTTTCTGACATTTGTTTTGATCAATGTGTGCCTTGAAACAAACAATGCAATTTTCTTGTGTTTAAGAATAGTGTCTTCTGTGTTTTTGCAGAGGAGCTTGATATATTTCCCTGGAAGATAAATAATAATAATGCTCTTCAGATAATCAGAAAGAGAAATAACTCAGAAATGGAGCATGAGATATGGTGAGTTCCTTAAAATTCACTTCAATGAATGGTGAGAATTCAGTGGGGAAAAAAGATGTATTTTGTATTTAAAAAATAATGATGCGTGTTTTTTTCTTTTTTTATGGGAAAAAAATCAAAGACTTTTTAATTTGTCACTGTAATTTTTGATCGGGGTTGAGTTTCATCATATGTTGCCATGTGATGTTTCACAAACATAACCATAAGTACCAGGCAAGCATATGATTGCTTCTATTGACCTGCATGTCATAGTGCATGAATGGCTGCTCTGTTTGCAATAGGTCTTCAGATCAGGCTTGGATGCATTACCTAATTGACTGTCTGCATGTGCCCTTCTCTTTGGGCCTGCTGTACTTCTTGTACTCTCTCTTTCCTTCCCCAGTCCATAACCATTCCTCAGATCTTCATTTAAGACGGAATGAACATGAAGCTGCTCTTTGTCTGATTAACCAAACTGTCTGGGTTTCTTGGCTGGCTTCTTGTTATGTAGCAGTTTTGATTAGACCTTATGCATTTGGGGAACTACATATACAGTATGTCCTCTGTGGGGCAAATGAGCAACATTTTTGACTGCAGTTTAATCGGTGGGTCCAAGGAATCGGGACTGAAGGTTTGCCTTATTGAACTGACTTTGAAAATATATAACTCTTCTTCTAGACTAGTTTTCACATGCTCAAAAGTACAGGCTTCCACATCATCATCACTCAAGTACCTTAGTCTCAGTAAGGCAGGACCACTTGGAAGGTTACAGGATATAATTAATCCATCATGTTTAGTCCTCTTTCACTGAATTTGCTTCCTTGGTATTTTTCTCATGCTGTTACAGCCTGTCTACCTGCTATAGTTTGTCCAACCTTGTCCTTTACTCAGGCCTGTAAAGAGCAGGCATGTGATAACAACTTTCAGCCCCCTTATGGACCTGGGTTTGATCAGACGGAATGACCTGGGGCAGAGAGGTTCTTCAGCTTTTCATTGTATGTAAAGTCATGATTTCAGTGGCGAAACATGTCTTTAGGGACAGAAAAACAATAGAGAATGTGAAGGCATTTTTAGATAGAAAAGGGTCTTCATGATCCCTTCACTGGTAAAATTAAATATCTTTTTACTCATGGCTTAATGCGTAAATAAAAGTATAGAAGGGTAATACCTTCAATTTGATCAGAATCTCCTAAAATATTGGACTTGCTTATGTTGTTCTAAATAGAATTTACATATAAATCATATAAACCTGATGCTACTTATGTTCTTAGGCTATACAGATGCAATAGTATTGCTGCCTATATGCAATGCAACACTAGGATACATCTGTTGATAAATCAGAGGCAGAGATAGCTCTGTTGGTAAAGACGAGGCTTCAGTAGGTCCTTAGGGAGCTTTGCATTGTGTAGGAATCCCCATGTACACAATGACTGTAGATATTCTTTATGCCAACATCCCTGAGAGTCCCCTAACTTAACCATCCCCCCTAAGATGTTCTTCACTGTGAAGAAAGGCACTAAACTATAAAAGTTATTTTGTAATTCAAGCTGTTTGTAGGTGGAATTGAGAAACTGGCAATGGATAATACAGTCCAATTTTGGCATTTTTTCTTAAACAAATTATATATCTGAAATAGCTGTCAGTACTCTGCCAGCTCTGTATAGAGGAGATGTTGTATCAACACAAAAAACCACCATATACTGTTATGATAAGACTGAGCAGGTAGAAACTTGTTTTAGTGAGCCTAATTCACCCACACAGTCAAGATGCTTTCCTCTCAGAGAGAAAATTTCATCATTTTTGCCACTATAGTATTATAAGCATTATGCAATGAAAGCAATTAAAAGCAAGTCTTGCTCATGTTAAACTCCTAGATCCTATGAAGAAAGTGACAAAACTGCCATGAAGACTGAATGCCTCAGGATTTTTCTCTGAGTTTTTACTCAAGCAGAATTGTCTTTGAAGCTCAATATTTGCCAGAGGATAGACTTAGTGTGATTCAAAGGTTGTTCCTGGACTACGAAGGTTGCTACCCCAAGTGTGTAGTTTTCTGCAGCTCTCCTGTGACTGTTTTGCGCATATGGATGAAATACAGCTCTTAGAATACACGTCTGTACACTTCTTACTTACCTAAGAACCCTATGGGTCAGGAGTTAAACGCCATACAAACTATAGCTATAAATAGAGCGGAAAGTGTCCTTAAGAGAAATGTTCTTTTCCCTCCCTTATTCCCAACTGAGTCTAGGATTTGTGGTTTGGATTTTGTTGGAGCTTTTTCCTGTCTTGGCTTCTTTTTTTTTTTTTTTTTAACCTGAATAGATGATAGTTTTCTTGATTGGAGTGGAAGGGAACAGCCATTTTGCTCCCTTGACCCTGTTCTGTGCTGATTTCCACTTGGTGTGCTCACACTGATTTCACTGAAATGGTATGAACAGTCCAGCACCTAGCCTCCATTTACAGGGATACTTCTCTGTGGATCAGCTCCAATGTAACTTGATGTCGGTAGGACAGGGAGCTTGGCTCATAAGCACACATCTGTTTCCCTGTGATATCCCCTGCCCCCACCACTCAGTTTGCTCTATTCATAAAAGCCTGGCTTATGAATTTGCCTGTTAAAAGTATGGTCTGCTTTTCCAATGCACTGGTTTTACTTTCTGATTCATATAGAAAATATGTTGTGACAGTGCAATATGTACTCAAGGTTATTCTTACTGGTAGTAAAAAGCAGATTATCTCTGGAAACATATGGAGTCCTGCGCATATACATGTCTCCTGCCAAACTGGAGGAAGCAAGTGGAAACAAATGCCAGCAGCACTGCAGGAAAGGAGTAACTGCAAGTTTTTCCTAAACCAGGCACAGCAAGAAAGAATACTGTTGGGCCAAAGCAGAGAAAAGTTGGAAGGAAAGAAAAAAAATCTTAATACAGTGTATGCTTTGTCGTATGTTGTATCCTGCCTCAGTTACAACTCCATTATACACTAAAAGATTCAAGAATGTATAGCATGGAGGAGCCTACATCACAACCAAAAATGATGAATGAGGAAAATGGGAAAAGATTCAAAGTGTCAAGCTTAGTTTAAGGAATATAGGTGTAAATTAAAACTCCAGCCTAGCAAACATATCCAGCCTACCATGTAACCTGTCCCTGGTTTCACCAGCTGCCCAGGTGGGGGAAGATGCCTTGTGTGGAATGGCATTGCACGGACCCTCCATAGCTCTTTCTAGGAATTTTTTCTGGGATGAATACAATTTGTGATCCTTTCTGGTTTGTAGCTAAAAGATGAGATGACGAATTATCTTCAGGGCAGTGGAGAAGGGTTGCTGGTTACACAGAAAATTTAGTTGTTTTGAGAATCATAAGAGAAAAGAAAAAATGCTGGTGCCTAGAGTCTAGGTTACACAGTAAAAAGAAAGAAACAGGAGTTTGATGAGTGATCACTTTGCTTCCAGAGAAGGTATTAAAGATCCTCTTTTTGAAACTGTGGAGGGAACATGACCATCCTGCAGCTGGGATGCTACCAAATGAACATAAAGAAACACATGTGCTGTACAAGAGAGGTACTGAAGTGAGAGTCTGTGAGTCTCTCCTGATGCTTTTAACACTTTCCCAAATTGCAGATGTGTATGAGCCAGCGGTGTTTATATTTCCTTTGTTATCATTAAGTGAGACCAAGCAAGTCCTGGAGTATGCGGAGTTATTTGCAAGGATGAGCCAGAATTTATCTAAGGGATGCACGAAAGGTCATTTCTATCACTGCAACAGATGGCTGTTTGGGTACTCATACCTGGACCTGGTATTCCTACAGATTTTTCAGGTTGCTCTATCAGGACTGTTTCCTGCCTGAGTCAAAGTCCATAGCAGCACACTGCTGTGTTCTTTTTCAATGGACTCGGAATGGGTCCTTTTATGTCTGCATGCCCTTTGCAAGAGCACACAAGGTGCTGTGAGTACCACGGTGAGTGCCAGGGCTGTAACTTCCATGCCTGTGTAGGTTTTGTAATGGAACTTGAGGGAACCCTTGCAAACTCTCAAGTCAGTGGCCCCAAGGCAAGCTTCCCCGCTGAGCCTTTGTTTGAAATGGGGCCAGTACTACTCTGCTATCTCCTGGGACACAGGGACACATCCATTAAAGTGTGTGTGGTGTTCTGCTTCTGAGACATGGGAAACAACAGAGAAGTTAATAAATAAACACAATTAAAAACCAAATCAGGTCTCTCATGAATGCATTGTCTTCTCTCTTTGCTCAAATTCTTTGCATTCCGAAATCATATTGGAAAATGGGAGGCAAATGCACAATAAATGCTGTGAGCTGCTTTTTGGGCCATGCTGTTTCCATTTCTATGGCTATTTGAAAAGTGCATGAATGCAAAGCACTTTTAAACACTCAAAAAATCAATTCAGAAGAAACAATAGAAGAACATTTATTCTCCTTTTATTCAGTGTTAGTATTGCTGAGTTTTGCCTGGCCAGATGTTGCAGAGTTTCAAATCTGTTCAACCATAGCTGTTAACAAAACCGTCCTTCTTTCACCAAAATCAAAAAAATGTACACATTCATTTTCTAAGACATTTTTTGTTGTTGTTGTTGTTTTTGTTTTTTTTTGGTATTTGTTTTTTAATAATGAAATGAAGATGCGATTTATCCATTACTAGTGCCAATACTCTTTGTGATCTCCGGGAGTAACAGTCGCAAGGCTTTGTGTGCATGCTGCTTGCTTGGTATTTACACAACTATTTGTAATTGTGGATGCCCAGTTTTAACTCGGTGATACTGTTCCTGCAATTTAGCTTTGGTTTTTTTTTTCTTTTTTTTAAAAGAGCACATGTTCAAGATAAGTAACGATTTTTCAGATAGAGGCTGGAAAAGCTTAAATCTTTCCTCTCTGTGTGGTAGTTTCCCTTTTCTTTCTTTTTCTGGACAGAACTGACAAGCAGGCATTGTCCCTCCAGTGAGCTCTGCAGTATTACTTTGACCCTAACCCATCAATCTGCCTCAATTGGATAATGATCTGTAATCACT